GAGAGAGAGAGAGAGAGAGAGAGAGAGAGAGAGAGAGAGAGAGAAATTAATTAGGCATCAAATTCAAAGAGAGGAAAAGCAGCTAAAGTTCAAAGAAAACTTTGAAAATCTTTCTGAAAGCCTGAAGAAATAGCTTATGAGCAGCTGCAAGAAAGTTGGAAGCAAAATTAATAAAAAAAATTGAACAGCAGTTTGAGTGCCACACATTAAATTGATCATTACTTAATAAACGTTAATTATTCATTCTTATCTTGCATATACCACCAAAATGAACAGTTTTCACAAATATTAACAGAGATCCATGTCTTAGATTAATGTGTCTGTAGAAGGAATTTGTTATTTCCTAAAGTATGATGCAATAAAAATAATTGCATTTCGATTTGAGCAAAACCCATGCAAAAGATATGCAAAATACATAAGCTAAACATAAATCTGCTGCACATTATTAACTTGTTATTCGCGATATTTTAAAAAGGAATTTTAAAAGTAAATATGAAACAATCAAACGTTAAAAGAGTTCTTGTAAAATGAACAGCGAGACACAAAGTAAAGTATTCAAAAACATGGAAAAATTGCAGATTGTTTGGTATTTCTTCTAATAAAATAAGTCTATCTAACAAGTCTATTTACAGGATAAATGTATGTGGCCTCAATAAAAATAGGTCACAGGGATCCTACATTCTCTATACACTGGCTGCTTTTAGCTATTTGGAACATTTTTCAACTCACAATGCAAAAAAATGATCTGTTAAACTGATCTCACTGTGAAGTTTTTAACGTGATGCTTAAAACCAAGTCTCTGCCTCGTGCAGAACGGGAATAACGCTCTGCATTGTTGACATTTGTTGTGTTTTTGAGCTCGGATTCAGGAAAAAAAGAGCTTTCCAAGCTCCTGCTCAAACAAACTGAGTGACAGCATGGTTTGATTTCCTCAGAGGGAAAGAACCTACATTACAAAAATATCAYCCAACCAAGGAACCATGCGACCCAGGAAACATACTGACCGCATAAAGAAGTAGTGGAAGTGTAAGAAATCATCTCAGTTTTTAAAGGTATTTTGCCTTTAAGAAAAATACACATTTGGATTTATTAAATACAGAATGTAAACAGAAAATGTAATTTTTGATCACACACTGCAGCCCTTAAAGGCAGCTTTATGTAATAAGATGCAATAGCATCGTAATTATTGATAAACAGGAAGCAGACTAGTTTGAGACATGAACAGATGGTGATCTATTTATCAGGCACTTTTTATCCGTGCTGTCATATTTCTAAGTAGCCTAAGGTGTAATCCCACTGACGGCTTTATTTGGACAAAAAAAATGAAATTTATATACATTATACATATAAATAGACTGTCTTTCCCCAAAGAAAATTTCATTCTGCAGCATTTGTCTGGATTTTCCAGAGCAAATTAAAAACATGCTGCATTTTATTTATTTTTTCCCATCATTGTAAACTGGTGTCTCCACTCATTCAAGGAGACGTCTCTGGAAAAGTTKGTCCTCAGGCATTTCCTCTGGAGTTATCTCTCTTCACATTCCATCTGAGACGTGGTTATCTGATCTTTGAATCTTTTATACAGTTTATTTCTGCTCTGCATGTTTGTAGTTTATGTAGGCTCTTTGTCGTTGCTGTATGACTTTTTTAGGTGGCTCTGGTCTCATTTGTTTTATGTAAATCCACTGACATTTGGCCACCGTCCAACATCTGAACAGTGTCGCCACGTTAAACAGAATTTCTCTAATTTATGTTGCTTTAGCTTTAGCTTTTTTTTTTAGGGAAAACTTCTTCCTGTGATAAAACTTTTATGGTTAAGTCTTGTGACGTTTGACTTCGAACGTGTTTTCTTTCAAAGCATACGTTCCACATACCAGGAGTTTTTTTTCCCCTGATGCTGAGGAGCATTTAAAATTGTGCTGCATGTGCACATGAGGGCTGCATGTGTCCATGTGTTTACTACCGGAGTCTGCAGGAGCATCTCCTAGCAACTGTAGGTTTGAAAAGCCACGCAGTCATCGCAGCCAAGTCTGCAGTCCCTATAGCAACCTGTTAAACATGGACCGAACAGGGAAAAGGAAAAGGAAAAACAGAGCAGGTGACATGCTTGGAGCAAGATGTGGAACCTTTGAAAAAAGTGTCATTTGGCATTTTTCTCTGATGTAAAATATGCTTTTCAGTGTAGCTGATTTACTTGCCGCTTATGATTATGGGCTGCTTTAAGTAAACAGTGGCAATGTACAACTTTAATTCATCTTTAAAGCAATGGTTCCATTTTTTCTAAGTATGGTTCTTTAGAAAAGTTCAGCTATCATCTCAGCTGTTATAAGACTTTAAATTGATTAAAAAAAAGTTTAATTCTGAGCTAAAGACTGATTCAGAGACCAAAATGGATTTCAAGATTCAAAATTCAAGATTCAAAGTGTTTATATTCATATACACAGATGAAAACATGTTTCCCTGAGCAATAAAATTCTTACTTTGCCCTCTGAATGCCAGGAGACAACCATACGAACAATAATAAGCATTTAAAGGACACTAAAAGGTAATAAGGGATAAATGATAAAAAAAGACCACACTTTGAACAAAAAAATAAATATTGACCAAACTAGAGATAATAACATCAGAAGGGAACAATACAATAATAACATCAAGATAAAAACTTGTTTTAAAGCAATTTTATTTACAAAAAAAAATTATAATAAAAAAACAGCAGTTCACACTGGCTGTTTCATATTGCACAAACACAAATAGCAGCAGCTAGCTGTTGCAGTGTTGGTGCAGCCTGCGGCTCGTCCTGCAGGAATATCACATTTTTTTGTCAAAACAAATGCACAATCCAAAACTGACAGTTCTGTTTAAAACAGCTGTTGCATCAAATGCAATTGAATTTTCGAGATGATTGTTGTTTAAGGTGGTAGCAATCCACATTTTTTGCCATTGTTTTTTAGCTCGTTAATCCAGCCCCAATTAAATCCTGTAGGGAGTGGTGTGCTCTGTTTATGCTGCAGGAGTGGAGCGGGTGTATACTTTAAACTGCACCCATGTTCAGTGCTGCTTGCTGGGACACTAGTGTTTATCCAGTATGCTTGTATGCATGTGACTGCCAAGGTATCACAGAGCGACGAGCTGCGTTCTGCTCAGGGCACCATAATTTTTGCTGTCTTACACCTTATATACGTAGATTTGTGGCTCCCTGTGCAAAATAGGCTTTAAACCCCATTTTTTAAATGATATTGCTTTAAAAAACTATCTACAACAGGTAACATATTATTTGCTCATAAGTTTGTCGCTAAACCCCAATTCAAAAAAACTATAGCCATTGCTTTAAAAGAACATGGTTTTAAGAACATATGACGCAGTCTGGGCTGCAGTTTATTTTGACATCTTCACACATTTTTGTGTTTTGATCCATGGCAGCTGGGAGTTAATGGCACGCTGCCTCACAGGAATGTGTCTCCTGTGTTGTACGTGCCCTGACCTGAACCCAGTCCTTTATTCCTGATGTTTACCCAGGCAAGAAAGGGGCAAGACAGGAAGTGCACATTCTCTTCATTGTGAAGGAAATACGCAAACTAATTTTAAATGAACAACCAAAGGTGAGAAATTAACATATATACTCAGGTCATCAAACTGAGGCCAAATCTTAAAAGTTTTAAATGATATTGTTTTTAATTTTATTTCACGATGATGACTCTGGAGAACTGAAAGAGTTCTCATAAGCTATTTCTTGCACTTTTAAAAACACAATGCTGCCATCTTGCTGCAGAACAATACCATTAAAAACCACTTAAACAGAAAAGTAACTTTAAGCCAGCCTTCTATTTAAAAGTTTGGATTTTACATTAATATGTTCATCATATGTAATGCTAACATGGCCTGCACATGAAGTCGACAGTTTCATTCAGTGAGCGTGTTTGTTGTTATTTTTGGCTTCACATATAAATGAAAATAAGAGAAATATATTTTATATTAAGAGTTTTCCCCAACTTATCAGGCTTCCAGTGATAAAAAGTAGCAGCAGAGGTACAGAAACAGTTTTCCTCCCAATACCGCCCAGCACAGACAGAGTCGCTGGCTGCACCACAGTCTTTTTGTCTCTGCAGTGGTTCGCTGCCAAGGTAACTGAGAGAAACCAATGACCCTTTCATTATGTGGCCTCTTCTTACAAAGCATCATTCTCTCAAGGCCATTTTGGAAATGTTTCCACCTAAGATACAGAATCATTCCTCAGAGTGCTACAGTTAAAGCAACCATTTAACTTCAGTGCGTGCAGGATTTCTGCTCGCACTAAAGGACGTCTGTTTTCACTTTAAAACTCCCGGGAACTTTTTATTTTGTGTCGGATGTGTCCTACAAATGCTGCCTGACAAAATCTGGCTTTTTTAGAAACCCACCTCGCAGTCACGCTTTCAGTGATCTGTGGGAGGGAAATGTTTAAGTTACTTAGAATTAATATTTTTCTCTTCCAGGGTCAACATAGAATGGTCTGGAGGATGATCTTAAAAATGCCAGATCTATATTTAAGAGACAGATAAAAGCTAGTTTTTTGAAGGTATATGAAAAGTAAAATGTGATATATTTATATATATATGATGTATGATTTGTTGTTTGAGTTGATGATTTGATGTTGTTTTTTATTATTTACTATTGTTTTGTGAATTTCATTTTGTTTGAATACATTCTGGGGATAAAAGGGGCTGACATAAGATTTGTACTCCTACTGCTACCTTTCATTTTATTTTGAGCTTGGATGTGTGTACTTTCTTTGTTTTTTATAGTTATTTTTTAATGGAAAGAATACATTGTGAATTGAATTGAACATCGTCAGGTTTCAGTTTGTGTTTGTGTTTGTTTGGTAGCAACTGAGCAGATTAAACAACACAGAAACTTTACATACACAGTGTGGATTTACCTGATTTCTTAACAATTTAGAACACAAACTTGTCTCATCTCCTATACATATATATACTATAATAT